GCTAATTCCGGTCCTCTTGTTGTTCCTGCAGAAAATGTGTATGATACAGGTTGTTTATAATTTTTTATCAATCCCCGTACCAAGAACACTTGTGCATGATCAGCATCGTCAGCTCTCGTTTTCCGGCCATCAGTAGCGAAACCAATTACCTTATCTTTTCGCTCATTATAACTTAAATTGACTTTCAATGTCATTTCGTCGAATAAAACAATGCATAGTCTCTCTTCAACTTTAAACTTTTTTGTAGCTTTCTTGATCTGAGCAAATATTCTTTTATTTATTCCAGGCTTTGTATTTGCATGGTTTAAAAGTTTTGTGAGAGCTTGTGGATTCAGCGAGACGAATATTTTTCTTAAAAATCTATAACACTTTGGACCTTGTTTTAAAATCGACAAAGCTACAATTTTTTCCTCTAGAAAAAATCGTCGACCTTTGTCCTTTTTTTTAATTTCCCTGAACTGCAATAAAGTTAATATTTTAGCTGTTCTGGGCAAGTTATCAACGGATTTATAAATTCAGGATTAGAAGTCAGTTTTTTCGCTGCCTTCAGACTTACAGACTGCTTTTTAACTTTGTTTTTGTACTTGCTGTAGCGCGCAAATCTCCTCGATCTATTATTACTCGAACCGGTAGGTCCATTCGTGTACCGAGTCGATATATCGATAACGTCATATAAAGTACGCTCTAGAGGGCGCTGTAGGTCGAGACAGCAATTCGCGGGTTGTTAACTTCCATAGACACACTCCGGTCTATGATTTATTATTCTGCGTAGTTGCCAAGGAGATTGTAAAATATACTTGACTCACTGCCAGCTCATGAGGTACCTTGAGGATCACTAGCTGATTAGTGACCGCCAGTACGGTTTTCGTTGGGGTCGATTAGCTGGTGATCTTCTGGTCTACCTGACTCATAGATGGGCGGAGGCAGCAGAGTCCAAGGGGGAGGCATTGGCCGTTAGTTTGGACACAGCGAAGACCTTCGATCGGGTCTGGTACAAAGCGCTTCTTTCGAAGCTTCCTTCTTATGAGCTTCCCGAGAAATTGTGCAAATGGATCACCAGTTTCCTTGCTGATCGGAAAATCAACGTCGTAGTAGACGGTGCATGCTCTGATTTCAAGCCTATCAACGCTGGTGTTCCACAAGGTTGCGTGCTATCATCAACGCTGTTTCTCCTGCATATCAATGATATGTTGCAAACTGGTAACATTCATTGCTATGCAGACGACAGCACTGGTGATGCCTTATATACCGGCCGTGCCAATATTTCTTGGGAAAACGTCGCCGAGTACCGGGACAAACTTGTGTCTGAAGTCGAGTCTTTGCTAAACAAAGTCTAGGATTGGGGGCGACTAAATCTAGTCCAGTTCAATCCCCAGAAGATACAAGTTTGCGCATTTACCGCTAAAAAGAACCCCTTTGTCGTATCTCCTCAGTTTCAAGGCACTCTTCTTGCTGCCTCAGCTAGCATCGTAATCCTCGGCGTCGACATATCGAATAGTGTGCAGTTTCGTGGTCACTTGGAAGGGAAGGCCAAACTGGCCTCTAAAAAGCTTGGCGTGCTAACCAGAGCGAGACAGTATTTCATGCCGGCACATCGCTTGCAACTTTACGAAGCGCAAATCCGGCCTCACATGGAATACTGTTCTCATCTCTGGGCCGGAGCACCCCAGTGCCAGCTCCTTCCACTTGACCTCATCCAACGCAGAGCGGTTCGAATCGTCGACGACCGAGTTCTTTCTGATCGGCTCGATACACTGGCACTGCGCAGAGATGTTGCATCTCTTTGCATTTTCTATCAAATTTACTACGGGGAGTGCTCTGAGGAATTGTTCGGATTAATTCCAGCCGCCAAATTTCACGAACGTACATCGGGTCAAAATTCACGATAACATTCTCACCATCTGGATGCTTGGCGGTCCACGACTGTGCGTTTTACTAGGAGTTTTCTTCCTCGTACAACCTCTCTGTGGAATTGTTTACCACCGGCGATTTTGCCGGACCGATACGACTTAGGGACTTTCTAGAAAAGAGCTTACACCTTTCTAAAAGGCCGGCAACGCATCTGCAATTCCCCTAGTGTTGCGGTTGTTCTTGGCCGGCGGTAGTCACTTACCATCGGGTGAGCCACATGCTCGTTTGCCCCTTCTTCTATAAAAAAAAAAAACTATCTACACAAATTGAGTGGAATAAATAGGATAAAATAGGAACGGACTCACAGTTAGGTAGGCAGGCAGGCGTTGTTAAGCCGGAGAAGTAGCGAAGCTCCGACCGCTGGGTGCTGTCTGCTTGAATAGGCGTGAGGCTCCGAGTGGTTGAACTTAGCATCGGCGTGGCTCGGCGAAAGACGATCTAGCTGCACGGTGAGCAAACTTAGTCCTAACTTGCTGTTGGCAATAGCCCAGGCAATCCAGGTACTGCCATGCACGACGCGACGTTGACCTTTTAATGCTCTTCCTCCGTTGACTCACATACTCGCAAAAGCCCGTTTTAGTAGCAGGGTCCTGTCACGGTCGCCAATTATTGTTCGTGGTGAACAAAAGAAAGAAATCGTAGATCTTCTAAAAGATATAGGTATTCGTCTGAATTTAAAGATTTACAACTGTATTATTCTTGGTGTTGTGCTTGTGTCTTGTTTGGTTGGAAATAAAAATGGGAATGCGAGAACGAATATGAGTGTCTGTAGCCTTCTTTGTGTGAAGTTGGTTGCAGGTGTCCATGGACTGCAGCAGCCACTTACTATCAGGTGGACTAAATAGTAAATAGTAAGTACGTGTATCAATACAATTTTATATAAAAAATAAGGTAAAAATAAATAAAAATTTATTAGACGTGTACCTATAATATAATATGATGGATATTGTAGCTAAAAAGACAAGTTGGATTTTTTAAGTTTTACCAATATTGTCTATTTGATTTAAAGGGGTAATCAATTAAATATATATAACGATAGAGAATATTTTCCAGCTAAAATAAACCTAGCAAACTAACAGCATAGCAAAGTGGCGAAGCAATCAGCTTTGTAGCGGTTTCTAATGGTTGCCGTTGAGCAATCAGTTTCAAAATAGGAGGTTCAGATGCCTGGGTGATCAGTAATCGATTGCTGAAAACAGAATTTGAAAATTCGAAACCGTTCTCGAGATAATCGTGGGACAGACGGACAGACGGACAGACGGACAGACGGACAGACGGACAGACATCGTGAAATCAATAAGTGACTTCGCAAGCTTCGCCACTTAATAATGTCAAAAACTGTTATATTTGATTTTTTTTTATTATTAAATAAGTCATGCGGACAGAAAAAGTTATTTGAACCCCATATTGGGGTAAATGTTACTACTCACACTAACTCACACAGTTTTTATAGCTTAAATGTTCACAATCAGAGTACACCACAATCATCCAATGTGAAACTTACGCAAGAGTGATCTCTACGTGTACCCAGTAAAACCCAAATTAGAATTTAAAAAAATATATAAATTGTTTTCTGGGGCTAATATGACTATTGTCCAAAGGATAATGTTGTAGCAGATTAAAAAAATATCGGTAAATTGTAGAAGGTTATTGATCAATAAGAAGTAACGAGGTTTTGGTTTTAATTATTATTTGCGATAATTTGAAATTAAATAGCTCGTTGTCATGTTAAAAGAAGTTTTAGTCTTCATAACAAAATAAAATACATAAAAATATTAAGACAAACAGATTAAGGCGGTACGGCACCTGTCTATAGGAAACGCGTCACTAGGGGTCCTACACTCACATTTTTTAAATGCGTCATTCTATAATATATTCTATAATTATAGCTACACTGTAGTCGAAACGTGGTGGCTGGTCGATGTATTCCTAACAGTATGGTCTCCGCATGGCGGATTCAGGTTGGTTCTCTGTGTAGGTAAAGATGGAGCAGCTAAGGAATCGGTGATCTAATCGGATGTGCAAAATTGTATATGTTAAAATAAAAAAAGAAATAATAATTAATATTTTATTTGATTAACTTAGTGTACTCTACTCTATACAGCGTTTATATTAAGATTAATACTTTCTAAAATATTATAAATATTACAAACTAGCTAGTTCAGTTCACGATTAAAATTTACTACACATCAAAATATACATAATATAATACCTTATAATGTATTAGCCTCTCTACTTTTATCTTATTTCCAATGAAATATTTACATATTATGCATTTAAATTGTAACATGCTGGTGGGCAAAAATGATCTTATATTAAAAAAAAAAAACAAGTAGACATATATTACAAGAGTGAATTTTGAAATCAGTATTTATAGTAACTCTGATTTAAATAAAAATAAGACCCTGATAAAGAAGTCCTAAATATGAAAAGGATAACATGAAGCGCTCATCGCGTACACTGAACATAAGAACGTAAATTGTACATTGAGAATAAAAATTAACTGTCTGCAATGGTTTCAATTTAATTGTTAGACGGAATACGACAAATTGTTATGAAACATACCTATATGCAGTATATATACAATGAAAAATTCATTTTATTTAAAAGTCTACACTAACTAGAATAATTCGAAACGTACCGAAAGGAATTAAATATTAATAATGAATTTAGTGTGCATAATGTTAAGCAGAGGTGTAAATCTCTATTAACCTGTATTAACGCCTGGCGGAAAAATTTGAGCTTGTTTTGTTGCTTTGTGTAATATATATATATATATATATATATATATATATATATATATATATATATATATATATATATATATATATCTATATCTATATATAAAATACTTCATAACATGGGAATATAGAAAACGATTTTCCATAGTTAAAATAATAATCGTTTAAGCAATCGGGACTTCCTGTCTTATTCGTTTAAATATTTTTTTTTTATAAATTTTAAAAGAAGACAGTTATTTCATTGTGTTTTTTTGATATTTGTAAAGAATATGGGTCTTAATTTTTTTTATTACCCTATACTGTAATCTGTGTGGTTGTATAATTAATATTTGGCGCGAAATCGAAGTACTATTTACAAGTGTGAAATTCAACGGTTCGAACACATGTATTACAGTCGACACGGCAGCACCAATGGAACTTACACTCGCAACGCTCTCTGATTACCATCTTCTTCGTATTGTAACCTCTGCCGCAGCACATCAGGGAGCACCCGTCCATTCCAGGTGACGTCCTGTTACATTCCCGCCCTGTGGTACCCAAGGAGCCCTGTAATTTTTATAATTTAAATAAAAGTGTGTACTCGTATGTATAAGTGACAGTGTGGTAGCGATGTAGGAATATCTACTACCCTATATCGTCCCTTGGGTGTCGTAAGAGACGACAGAAGCAAACAAGTAGGGTAGCAGCGTCTTCTTTATGCCAAGCTTGTCAACTATGGTAAGTTTGCCCTTATGGGGGAGGCCTATGTCCAGCAGTGAACTTTTAATAGGCTGTAACAGTAACTGTATGTATTTATGTAAATTAAAAGTAAATGGTTAAATGTGTGAATATGTGATCTCGTTGGTCAGTTGTACTCGTATATCTAGATTTTCAGGTTCTTAGACCTTATACGACAATGACCTGACGCTACATAAATACGCATTGATATATATGTACTACGCACTAGATTTCGCAGTTGAACATACTCAATGTTCAACTGCGAAATCTAGTTAGTAATTCCGAACATTGAGTATGTTCAACTGAACTGTACTGCAATCCGTACACTAAACAAAATATTGCGTTAATTGAAGATTTGTGAATTCCATAAGAAATATGTTTGTTTAGATTAAAATAAGAGGATTTTATATTAAAGTCTTATATTTATTTAATATTAATATTATTTTATATTAAACTAGCTGACCAGGCAGACGTTGTTCTGTTCTTTCTGACGACCCTTCCTAGAAAAAATCCTTAAATTCGTAATAAAAAATTAATGAGTGTCACTTATCGGGATAAAAACTATCCTATTTCGCAAGTTGAACCAAACTGCACACAGTGTGCCAAATTTCATTGAAATCAGTTCAGTAGTTTAGGAGTTCATCGCGGACAAACAATGTGACACGTAATTTTTATATATAAAGATTAAAGTATTCACGCATGCGCGATTCTACTATCTCCCGCGCACGCGCGAAGACATGAGTAGCGCACAATTTTTGTTTGGTATAGTTTCTCTAGTGCGTAGTTCATATTATAACTCAATGTAAATACGGCTGGAAGTCATCTACCTTGGCCTTCGGTAGTGGCAACGCATTTTCATTTATTTGATTATTAATATTTGTTTGCTGATTGCAAGACTCAGCTGTAGTAGCCACTTGCCACCGCGTGGACTGTTAACTCGTTTGTCGTGTTAATATAAAAACTCGATACAGTCATCCTTGTTGGTGTAGTGGTTGTATGTGTGACTGTTGATCTTGTAATTCCTAGTTCAAATCGCGGATCGAGCGAAATTCTGTTGTCGTGTTTTTGTTAGAAACTTTCTTAGTAGCAGTATAGAGTCAAGTACGTGCGGTGTTTTACCCCGTGCCAAAAACAGTTGGTTTTTCGTCTGGTATCTCTTGGGTCGTGTCAGATTGCCATCCCATCGAGCTACAGGGGAACAGAGAGTTCGAGAGTGAACCTGTGCTTGAGCACACACTCTTGTACTTTTAGTTACACAGTGCTGCGTGACCGATATTTTATATGATAAGGGTGACAAATGAGCACACCGTCCACCTGATGATAAGTCGTTGCTGCAGCCGAACCATTCGTGCTACAACTATACTACTAATATATCTGCAGCATGGCAATACCACGTCATGGTATTAGATCTGAACGCCTGTTATAACTTTGTTGAGATCAGAATGATGGTCAATTTGAAGTACAATTGCGTGGTATATTTTATGAGCCTTGTTAGCTCATATAGCAAAGCTATATAAAACCCGCAATAAATACATATTCGCAACAAAGTTAGCGAATAAGTATGCTTGAGGATAATATAGATAATACTCACTTCCCAAAATCATTTGTGACGTGGTAGAAGCCACGCTACAGTTTTATTATGGTTGTAGCACGAATTGGTCGGCTCGACCGGAGAAGAAGCACACTTTCACAGAATACCAGCATAAAATGGCAGCTTGACACTTTTGTATTTTGTATGGTGAGTGTAGAGAACCGGAGACTGGAAAAGAGGCATTTCATCTTAGTCCTCACCGGTGTCGACGCATCTGCATTTTGATTCTTTATTGAGGATAAATGTAGATGTCTATGGGTCACAGCAACCACTTACCATCAGGTGGAATGTGTGCTCGTTTGTCACCCTATCCTATAAAAAAAAATTAACCTTAAATGCAGGCGCTACGTTCAAAGTACTATATAGTTATACTTACAAGCGTTTCATTTTTTACACAGTAGTTAGGTGATTCTTCTAAGTATACCAAATCGTGAGCCGTCGGTAAGCTGTAGTGCGGGTTGCTCAGGCGTAGTTTACCTCGTCTGGACACTTTCACCTCTGTGGCGCCTTCATATTTGTCCCTGAGGTAATCCCCTAAAAAGAAAAATATAGGTTTGTACATTTGTACTGGTTTCCTTACCCTTACAGTACATAATATTAATTAAAAAAACTTACAATAATGAAATATAGCAACCTCTTTCTTCCCATGGGTATCATAAAGGCGAGTATTGGAAATACAAGAATGGTTTCATAGCGTTCGATAAATGGTGTTATATAGCAACCTGGTTAATGTCCAAAACTGTAAAAAAAATAGCCAGACCAGAGGTGTTATGGTCAATACACAGAATATCCCTAGTGCCTACAGCTTAAGGGTGTGCTTGAGATGCAGTGACCATAGAGCAAAGATCTATTAAAACGCTTGCATTGCCTTTTGCGTTGTGGAAGAAATGTGTTTTTCAGAATGTGTTCTGCAGATTCTACAGTAAAAACCTAGCCCTTTGCAATATTTTGGTATTCGGACGCTACAACGCGAAAAGTTTAAGGTGATCATCATCCTCGATCAACAAAATAACGAGTGGGTCCAACCAAGCAGTCACAAAGCTTCATTTTTGATATTGTCTTTTGGTATTGTCTTGAATCGTGTAGTGATTCAGTCACGACCTTCGCGTCTATTTCAGACGATATAAATAGTGTGTGTGTGTAATACACTTTTCAAAAATGTGCTGTAGTTTTTCTAGCGAGACTGCTCCTGGTCACAGAACACGAACAACTCAAAAGCTAACTTAAGAACAATGTTTCGATCTTCATAAGACCTATTTTAGTCACTACTAGAAGACATTTTCTGCTCTAAACGTTACTTCTCATCGTATCTCTCATAAAATCTTTATACCTAGCAGTGGTTAAATTCTACATGCAGACAGTACGTAAATCTTTAGATTCATAATAGTGCGTAAATTTATAAATTCATCAAAGAGCGTAAATCTATAGATACATGACAGTGCGTAAATCTATAGATTCATGAACAGAGGAATTAAAACCATGTATCTAACCTACAGCAACCAGTTAGTATAAAATTTGTTTTTTAATAAAAAATTCGAAAAATCTATACCTGTCTCTTTCTGAGAGAGAGAGGAGAGAGAGCAACTTTAAGAATTTCTTAAATTGCCATCGATTTTTCTGAGTAAAACATGTATAATTACTTATGGCCATAATAGGTATTGTTATAAAATTATATTTATAATCAGATCCCCTCCTACCAAGCGTGGTAACTATAGCGAATATTCAGCCTACGAGGCAATCTAGGCCTATGTTCAACATTAGACATCTAATAGGCTATAACTGTACCGGTACCAACAGATATAATTATATCGTAAAAACGTTGATAAATGTCACATAGAGTAGCGTAAGTTGTGTAGAGTGAAAAAATGTGCTAACAGGCTAACAGTTATTCATCCGGTACGTTGCTACTACAAGCCATTGATATTGTAGGTATCAGTCAGTGAATTGCCGCTTGTAGTAGAACTTTAAAAAAGCAAGACCACAGATCAAGGACTGAAGATAATAAAAGGTAAACCTATGAAATTACCGTTCTGGAGTACTGGCCATTTCAAATCAAAATAATTTTTTTTTGGCTAAGAATTCTAATTTCAAATTAATTTTGTTTTAAAATCATGGAATTCTTTTTTCAAAATTATACATTTGTTTATTGATTAGCGCTGTTTGGCGGAGGCATCTTATACTCTAATGGAGACAGACCTATATTCTCATAAAAACTTATGTGTACAATACTTTTTCTATAGAACAAGATTGACAAACGAGCGCACAGTTCACTTGCTGTGACAAGCGTATGCTGTATTCCATAGACATCTACATCCATTCATAATCAAAATGCAAATGCTTTATTATCCCCGAGTACTAAAATGGAATGCCTCGTTTCCAACAAAAACACTTTCCACACTCAGCATATGAAACACTCCAGCATTAAGCTGCTATTTTACGCTGGTATTCTGTGAGAGCGCGATCTCTTCGCGGTCGACACTAGTGCTATTAACGATAATATAGCCGCTGCGTGGCTCATATACATGGTAGTTTAAAAATAAAATATAGACTAATCATACTGACTATCTTTCAGTTTCACCGCAAACATTGCACTGTGTAGGCAATATAGCCGACCACCCAAAACAAAATTTTGTCTCAGATTAATTAAGCCCGGAGACAATAAAAAGGTAAAATAGAAATAGTGCTGCAACAAAATACCCATTTACGTCCAACAATCTTTTGTCGGTATGTCGTAAAACTTATGATTGGTTTGTTATAGAATCTTCTATTAAAGGCATTTAAGAGCTCATAAATATGTTTATTCATTTCACAACTTAATTATGGTGTATTGCAAGAGAAATTCTTTTTAAACAATAAATTTTAAAATGTGTGTGAGAGTTTAAACGTAAAGCCTGAGCAATAATTACTACTTCCTGCTTTAAAAAATTTAAGCTAATCCAACCGCCTCAATTGCCGTTTTAATTGCTATAAATTTAAATAAAACCACATTCTAAAAACTGGTTGGATGTTAAAAGTTATTTTAGTTAAATAACTTACCAACTCTTTTTAATTTCGTAGTACTCTCATCATTCGTAGTGAAACATTAATAAAGAAAAATAAAGATAGATATTAGATACTTAAATTTTTTAAGCAAAAAAACTGCAACCCATCGACTCTAAGGTTTTGAGCTGTCCAGTGTCCACATCCACAATTCCAATATTCTATTTGGTGACTATTTAATTACTTCGACATATTCTATATACATATATGTAGGTGACACCTAGTTTTACAAAAACTAAAATTACGCAATATTATTAAATACTACGAAGAGAAATAAATAAATATATGACTACAAAAGTTGTCGGGAATATTCTAAGAAACATTGTTGCGTAAATATGACCACCGCCGTCTATTAGCAACTGTAACACCAAAGGAATTGAAGGTGCGTTGCCTTTTAAAAAGGAATTGGTTTTTTTCTTGAAGTGTTTCGTATAATGTATGTAGAGGACCGGAGGCACCTTTAACAGCAAGCCTTTTTTGTGTTTTGGTTGCTTACGTCAGGTCGACTGTTAGTTCGCTTGTCTTTTTTTATAGGATATGGGTGACAAGCGAGCACACAGTCCACACGATGATAAGTGGTTTCTGTAGCCCATACACATCTACATCTATCCTCTATTATGAATCAAATGCAGATGCGTTGTCACTCATGAGGACTAAGATGGAATGCTTCGTTTCATATCACCCCATGGGTGTCTTAAGAGTTGACAGAGGCATCGAACCAGGAGATGGTTTCAGCGTTCTCCTAATAATAAATAAACACTAGGTACTAAACTTTCTACAAAAATAACAGCTAGGGCATGAGGAAAACTACCGTTGCCAACTCGCCTGCCATACGTGGCGACTAGGGCAAATACGAAGCAACCTGTGGGGAGGCCTATGTTCAGCAGTGGGCCTTGATAGGTCGTAAAGAGTGAATGAATACTTTTAGTATTGTTTACAATTATTATATCATACTAAAATTATCATAATTAATAACCAAAAATAGAATACGCAAAAGATACGCCTATATATAAACATAATTTAAAATTAAAAAATTTGTACAACCGACTTCAATATAAATTATTAAAAATAACTCAAAAACTATTGGTCAGACCTTGATTTATATGGGACCACCTGAGAAGCATCAGCTTTAAAATAAAAAAAGAATCATCGAAATCGGTTCACCCAGAAAAAAGTTATGAGGTAACACACATAAAAAGCATACAGTCGAATTGAGTACATCCTCCTTTTTGAAGTCAGTAGAGCAGAATAAAATACAAACTCGCCATCTGGCTAGTCTCCGTTGAGGCAGGCCGCCGTTAACCAAATTCAGTTTCAAGAGATATTATTTTAAAATAATTAAAAATTAAAAATTTTGAAATCTCTTTTTTTTGCCGACTTCAAAAAGTAGCCGGTACTCAACTCGACTGTATGTTTTTTTTTATGTGTGTTAGCTCATAACTTTTTACTGGTTGAACTAATTTCGATGATTCTTATTTTATTTGAAAGCTGGTACTTCACACGTTGGCCCATATGAATTTGATTAAGGTCAGACTAATCATTTTTGAGATATTCTTAATAATTTATATTGAAGTCGGCTGTACAAAATTTATAACTTAAAATTAAAAATTTTGTACAACTGACTTCAATATAAATTATTAAGAATATCTCCAAAACTATTGATCAGACCTTGATTAAATTTATATGGGACATCAGATTTCAAATAAAAAAAGAATCATCGAAATCGGTTCACCCAGAAAAAAGTTATGAGGTAACACACAAAAAACATACAGTCTAATTGAGTACCTTCTCCTTTTTGAAGTCGTAAGAAAAAAGTCTGTAAGACATTCCATCTTAGTCCTTAGAGGTGATAACGCGTCTAAAGCCTTCTTTGTTCAAAGTTTGTTGGAGGAGTCCATAGGCTGCATTAGCCACAGACCACGAACTAACATAGCGCCTGGTTTCGTAAGGTTCATTCGTCACTTCAGTTGAATAAAAAAAAATCTTTGGGTAAAAATAAAAATACAGGTACAATTATTATAGTAGGTACTATAGTTTTATCTAGTATCCTTTATAAAATCTACGGGATTAAATTGGATACATTCGCTTTTACGGTCTCTCAGCTAATTTCAAATAATTTGAAATGTCTGATCACTGAAACCTCGAAATCCATCCACATTTCTCAGTCTCGCTTTTGTGTTTAATAATGAACTTTATAATTACGCGCATTGTAAAACGGGCGTCGGTTCCGTTAAAATGACAGTATCATTAATTATTTAACGACCATCATTAGCCACTATCCGGGAACAATAAAATCCGATCTCAGTTAATAGAGGAATTAATTCCGATGTACTGGGGCAGCATGAGGTGACAGGAGGACTGATAGCCTCATTAACTTTCGCCCAAGTGAACCTATCGGTCCGTGAATACAATGGAAGATCGTTTAAAAGACAATCGGTTTAATTTTCTGTTACGGTATCTTTTTGTAAGTTTCGTAACGCGTAATAAATAATATA